ACTACACCTTAGCCTTAGCCCGGCCTACCATTACTCCTCCTCCAACTGCGCCCCGGGCCTTTTCCAAATAGAAGGTGGTTGCTGTGTGAGGGACGGACCGGGCGCCGCTCTTTCCTGCCCTCTGATCTGCTGCCTTCGCTGCGCTAAAACACGGCCGGATAAAGTCCAGAAAGAGCCGCCTCGGGGGCCGCACACAACCCCGTGCCCCAGTCCACCGCCCGTCCTCCTACTGCCCCCGCCTCCCCATGGGAGAAGGCACAGGCCCTGGTCCCTCGATGCGGGGACTAACCACTGGACCAGACTCCCCCGCTTGGAGCTCTGCTTCTGCACGGTGGTAAGAGAGTAGGCTGGCATGGGGGTGGGAGTGTCTCTGTCCAGGCCCTCCCCGGGAAGGAAGCACCCACCTATTCCTGCCACTGCTGTCACCCTGGGGGAGAAGGAAAGTCAGGCCAGTCTTGGGGTGCCAAAGACTTGCTCTGTGCGTGTGTGTTTGTGTGTGTTTGTGTTTGTGTGTGTAAACGGTCCCTGAGTGGACCCATCCCTTGGTTTCTCCTCTAGGTCCTCCTGCTCCGATATGGCGCACTGATGCCGTGTAAGCGGAGAATTGGAGCTGGCCTAAGAACCACTGCAGCCGCCACACACAGTTGCCCCGTTCCCTCCTTTGGGCCTGGCGGTAAACCCAAGGCCTTTTCGGCTGCCAACTGTCCAACGATCCAAGGAGCCTTTCTTCCCATTTACCTCTGTGAAACCTGGAAAAGCTTAACATCACCTGCTCACAAAAGGCCATCCCACCACCCCAGGATGCCACAACCCTCATAAATTTGAGTCCATTTTCCGTCCTCTGAATTTTCACCAGGAGACGGTGAGGATGCTGCAGCTGCTGTAAGTCGCCATTTCCTTTTCTCAGTGCCATTGAAACTTGGAAGGGTCACTAAGGCAGTCACTGACTTAGTCCTTATTCAAGGACTAGCTGTATATGAAATTTCTCTGAGAGGAACGTGTGGACATGGCTGGGCCTTTTGCTGAGTCTCTGCTGATGAACACGTTGCTCTTTGTTCCCTGGAGTCTCCGGGAGAGTCCTGAAGAAACCTAGTTAGGCACCAGCTGGATCTGGGCTTGCAGCCCTGTGAGATTCTAACAAGCAAGCCAGAAGGACGAGGTAGATGGGTGGGAGGGGTGGACGATGGTGGATTATTCTGCTGCAAGCAAACGTGTATCAAGGCAGGAAGAAGGCCACTTCTTGTAAGTAAGCACCAAGCGGTGAACAGCCCAAGAGGAGAAAAAACAAACAGAAGACAAATATAAGACAAATTGGAGACAAATTGGATTTAAAATGTCTCCATCTCTTGATATGGAAATACCCTTAGAATTTGTTCTGAAGGAATATCGGTACTTGGATTCTATGTTTTTTAAAATTTTCCCTCTGAAATCTTATATGAATTGACACACAGCAGCATTGGGTCCTCCAGGGCTCAAAATTGAGGAGGAGGAGGGGGGGGATGCTGAGCTCTGGGTCCTATTCTGGGGGTCCTGGAGGTGGGATTCCCAGGGAATCCAAGCATTGAGTGAGGCAAATGGGATGCCACTCATAAGTTTCTTCCTCATTCCTCAGCTGTCCAGATCAGAGATGATCAGTTCAAAATGGAGGTTGACATTTCCAAAGAGTCGCACATTGAGTAGATAGCAACAGCGCTTAATCTTTTGCAGGGCTTCCCTGGGCTTTTACAGCCCTCCCTAAGCCTGTTGGCCCCAACAATCTGGCTCCTCATTTTACCCACCTGGCAAGGATGGAAGGCTGAGTCCACCTTGAGCCTGATGAGAATTGAACGGCTGACAGTCAGCAGAATTTGTCTGCAACCCTGCATTCTAAGCACTTGTGCCACCGCAGTGGTTAGAAGGGAGTCAGATCCTGGCTAATTCTCACTCGAACCCACATTATCCCCCAAACTCAACTTTGCTTACCATTCCAAGAGAAAATAGAAGTTCCAAGGAATCAAGGATCCCTCTTGGTCTGTGAAGAAAGAGACAAGAGACAGTTTTGACAGCTGAACCCCAAAGAGTTTCAGCAAAGCTGCCCCACAAAGTACCTTTCAACAGCCAACATACTCCAAAGACTCACTGTAGCCAGATCTCTCCCTATATCGGGGCTCTCCAACCTTAGCAGCTTTTAAGACTTGTGAACTTCAACTCCAAAGGTGGCTGAGAAATTCTGGGAGTTGAAGTCGACAAATCTTAAAGTTGCTAAGGTTGGAGACCCCTGCCCTATATGGTTCCCTTGGCTATGCATGATCTAGCACCCTCTCCATATTTTCTGGCATCCCCTGATCCCGGGATCCCAGGGGGCTTCTGTGCAACGGTGTTCGGAATATAAGTCACCTAACAGGTATTTGGATTAGAAATATATAAACCAGGATAAACATTTTAGTACTGTATCTTTAAGGGAATGCAAGAGCATGCAATTGGGTGTGGTTTCTCAAACAGCCATAAGATGGATCCAGAAACCTGGGTTGTTTAGTCTTAATCTCAGAAGAGTGTGTGACTCTATCTCTGTTTCTTTCTATTGGAAAGTATTGCCCTTGCTCCATTTCTTCTAATTGACTGATATTATTGGATTTGATGTAAGTCTGATACTGAACTGCTTTTGACACTGGAATTTGATATTTGGATTATCCCTGGATGAAAACTGACTGATTTTACCTGTGAATGACTTTGGATTGCTTATTTTGGACTTTGCTTAAACCTTTCTGGAAGTAAAAACCTACATTTACTGCACAGTGTATCTGTGTGCTCTGTGTGTATTATCCAAACACTACTCTCTATACGTCTCCCTGTATGCGCTCATTCTCCTAACGGGGAATTACCTCAACACTGGTTATGGGCCTAGACCATACTAGGCACAGATAACTGAGAGTTAGTGTGAATGCACAGTACTGTATACAGACAGCTGTTTACTGTTTAATTGTGGGTTACTATCCTGGTAAAGATGGCACAAGTCACTTCAACAAGTCTATCACTGATAACCAGGTTGGATGGAACAAACTATGTTTCCTGGTCTATGAAGTGCAGTCTACTTCTGCGTAAAGAAGGTTTATGGAATGTAGTTCAAGACCCACCGGATGTAAATGCTTGGGATCCAGCTAATGAGGACGATGCCAAGAAGCTTGCTGACTTTAAACAGAACAACGAACGAGCTCTTTGTATAATTGGACTAACACTGAGTGATCAGCAACTAGTCCATATTAGTGGAGAAGAGTCTGCTGCTAAGTGTTGGGAGAATTTGAAGAGGATTTATGTTCGTGACAGTGTAGGTGCACACATACATCTTACACATAAACTGTTTAGAACATGTCTTCTGAAAGGTGGAGATATGTTAGCTCATCTAAACTTCATGAAAAGAACTTTTCAAGAGCTACATGAAAACTGATATTTTCAGAGCTGCATCAAGTTTATATCATTCTTTCCTCATTGGATGAAAGTTATGATGATTATGTATGTTCACTGGAAGTCCTGCCCAGAGATAAAGTGACATTGACTGACATAACTGGAAGGTTGTTAGAAGAAGCAAGAAGACGGCTGGATAGGGACCAACTGAGGAAGGAACAACCACAAGAAGAGGATTTATCTTCAACTGCCTATACTGTTAGGAAATGTTTTTCTTGTAGGGCTAGGGGACATATAGCTAGATTCTGTAAGAAAAGAAAAGGACAGAATACTGGCAAACACCAGAAGGCTAAGAAGAATGTTAGTTTGGCTATGTCTAGCAATTCAACTGTAAACCATGATTTGTGGGTTGTTGATAGTGGAGCATCACAGTGCATTACTAAAGATAGAAACAGGTTTGTAAAGATGTCCACAAGTAAACAACATGTATCATTGGCAAATGGATGGAAGATGAATGCATCAGGTGAAGGTACTGCATATTGTTCTTGTATAAATGAACACTTAACTATGTTATATGTACCTAAACTGAAATTTAATTTATTATCAATAAGGGCTTTAGTTAATCTTGGTTATGTAATAACCTTTAGGGGAGATAACTGTATAATAGAGAAAGAGGGTAAAAGTGTTACTGCTACTTTAAAGAATGATTTATATGTAACACATGATGATCAGTTGAAGATGGCTAACTCAGTTTATAACAATGTTAAGCCACATGATGAATGTATACATTTACTACATAGACGTCTAGGGAACATTAATTTCAAAATGCTCAAACAAACTGTTGAATTGGCAGAGGGAGTAAAATTGAAACCTTGTAGCAAGTATTTACACTGTAATGCTTGTAGTCAAGAAAAGAGTAAGGTTACTCCAGCAAACAGACTTAATGGGTTTAAGACCAAAGAACCTTTAGAGGTTGTGTTTGCTGACATAATTGGTCCTAAAAAAAACAAGTTTAGGAGGTGCCTGTTATATTTTGAGTATTATGGACCATTACTCACGATATGGTTTCTGCTATCTTATGAAAAACAAAACAGAAACATTCCAACATTTCTTTCACTGGCTAAGGTTTGCTGAGAGAAAAATGAAAAGTAAAGTAATTACTTTAATAGCTGATAATAGGACTGAATTTGTTAACAAAAGATTCCAAACTATGCTAAAATTGGCTGGTGTTGAGCATAAACGTTCTGCACCTTACAGACCACAACATAACTCGTTTATAGAACGAAGAGGACAAACATTACAAGCCATGGCTCGCACTATGTTATCTGAAACACTGTGGGGTGAAGCCATAATGTGTAGTAAACATGTTTTAAACAATGTAGTTAATACAACAGAATTGCCATTCACTCGTTGGCATGGCAGAAAGCCAAATTTAAGTTATTTACACACATTCAGAGCTCCAGCATGGGTGCATATTCCCTCACAAGTAAAACTGAAAGGGCAACATAGAGCTAAGAAGTTATTTTTTGTGGGTTATGAGGCCAACCATAGATCATTTAGATTTTGGGATCAAGGCACAGCTCATGTTTATTGTAGTGCTAGTGCAAAATTTCTAGAGCACGTTGGGTGTGATAAACAGGAACAGGAATCCAGCAATGATATTATTATTGACACCCAAATAGTCCCTAAAGATGATATCAGTAAACAACAAATAGCCATTAAAGAGGAAGAACAGGAGGAAGTAGGAGAACAGGCACAGGAGGAGGTAGAAGAACAGGAACAGGTGGCACAGGAAAGTCCACCAATAAGCCCTGTATTACCAAGACGTTCAACCCGAGTAACACAACCACCTGATAGATATCAGGCTAGTGTTGTATGCCAAGTGAATACAGTTCCTAGTAACTATAGTGAACTAAAACTGTATCCTGCTAAGGATCAGGCTGCTTGGCAGAAAGCAATGGATAAGGAACTGGAATCTTTGAAAAGACTGGAGGTATACGAAAACGTTAAGTTACCACCAGGTAAACATGCTATAGGATATATAAGCTTAAGACAGGTGTAGATGGGACTGTTACCCATAAAGCCAGGTTAGTAGCACAAGGGTTTAATCAGACAACAAATGACTATGATGAGGTGTTTGCACCTAGTCTGAAGACTACTACATTAAGGGCAGCATTAGTGTGGGCAGCTAAGGAGAAATATATTGTAAATCATTTGGGTGTAGAGACAGCATATCTGCATGCACCGTTGCAACACAATATATATTTAAAGAAACCTTTAGGTCTCAAAAATGATAATACTGATAATAATGATTGCTGGAAATTGAAAAAGAGTCTTTATGGTTTGAAGCAATCTGGATATGAGTGGAACCAATGCATAGTTAAAGAATTAACTAAAATAGGTTTTGTAGCTGGCATGGCTGATCCATGTTTGTTTAAAAAGGAAAGTAATGGTATAGTGTCATTATTGCTATTATTTACTGATGACATAGCATTAATCACCAAAACTGAACAAGAAGCTACTGAGATGATTTCACTATTGGAAAAGAAATTTAAGATAAAACAATTAGGAGAAATCAAACAATATCTTGGTTTAAAGATAGATAGAACTAGAGGAGGATACAAAATCTCACAGGCAGATAAAATTAACCAATTACTAAAAAGTTTTAAAATGGAACTTTGTAAACACGCTAAAACACCAATGAGCCAGGAGTTAAGCCATAGTGATGTTCAAAGTCCTATTTTTGATAAGAACATTTATCAGTCCTTGATTGGTAGTTTATCTTATCTGGTCAAGGCCAGATATTTCATACTGTGTTAATCAATTAGCGAGATTTAATGCTGAGCCAACTGAAAGGCACTGGCAAGCTGCTAAATGTGTGCTAAGATATCTGAAACAAACAATGCATTACAGGATCCCCGCTTCTCTCACACATTCACCTTCCAGCCCAGGATTCCCAGACTGGATCTGAAGACGGGCCGCACACTGGAATCCATCCTGAACTGCAAGAGCAAGAGAGATCAAATTCAGACAGTTGGTCTCCATCGGGGCTCCTTGGGGAGGTGGGGCGATTTGGGGCATTCAGTCCCCATCCAGTTTCCCTCCCAGGGTTATTACAGGGGGGCTCCCAGGGACGGCAGAGGCTCACCTAAAACCAGAGAAAGGTCCAGGTGCACCTTCAGATATGATCCTCTCGGGGCTTTGTTTTGGACCTGCAAGGGGACAATGGACTATGGAAACACGCACAGATGCAGATAGAGACACAGACACACAGAATAGAATAGAATTCTTGATTGGTCAAGTGTGATTGGACACACAATGAATTTGTTTTGGTGCAAATGCTCTCTGTGTACATAAAAAGAAGAAAAAATAAAATGAAATACATTCAAGAACCTTAGGTATAACACTTAATAGTAAAAGGGTACAAATAAGCAGTCAAATCATACTAGAAAACATAAGTGATCAAAACAAATCAAATCATACTAGTAAACAGTCAATATAAATCGTAAGGATACAAGCAACACGGTTACAGTCATACAGTCTGTATGGGAGGGGATGGGTGATAAGGAATGATGAGAAGATTAACAATAATAGTAGTGCAGACTTTGTAAATAGTTGGACCGTGTTGAGGGAATTATTTGTTTAGCTGCTAAACAAATGGCATTTGGGGAAAAACTGATCTTGTGTCTAGTTGTTCTGGTGTGCAGGGCTCTATAGCGTCATTTTGAGGGTAGGTGTTGAAACAGTTTATGTCCAGGATGTGAGGGCTCGGTCCGTAAATATTTTCACAGCTCTCTTTTTGACTCGTGCAGTATACAGGTCCTCGATGGAAGGCAGGTTGGTAGCCATTGTTTTTTCTGCTTCAACATTTTTCAAGAGCTTTTCTGTGACCTCTTTATGCTAAAACAGGTGCATGCAGGTGAAGAACAGGTGAGGCTTTGGGGCTAAAAGTAGGGATGTGCTGGGGGAGCCTTCCCAAACCATCATTCGATCACTCCCCCTCCCCCAGTTCCCTTGGCAACAAGAGAGCCAGAGGTTGGAAGACCTGTGAGAAGAGAACAGTTAGGCCTTAAAGTTGGTGTCGGCCTCTGCTTAATTAAAGGCCTCAAACTAACAATATATAATAATGCCGGCTCAGCTGATTTTGCAAGCATGGCGTAATATTTGCAACCTGCTGAGCGGAATTTGCAGCAACAGCAATATGTTTGCTGTCTGCTACTTCTGCAAAAAGCACATATTTGCTATAAAATAAAAATACAGCTCTTTTGGATCACGAGTGTCTGGGACATTAAGGAAAAGGGGAACTGAGAGTAGCAGATGGTAAGTGAGTTGGAAAAGAGTTAGAATATACCTACAAGTGGGTATTAAGTGATGGACAGTATGAGGGAATAGGGAAGTGCATCCGGTAAGATTACATACTACTGGGTGGGCTTCAGAAGAAGAAGGGTATAAAAGAAGGGGGAAAATCTCAAATCAGGGCCACTGATAGTAGCTAGCTTTTCTGGAGTTAGCTACTATCTCTGAAACTCATTGCAATGGGTTGTACTATCTTACTGAAATGTTATGTTATGACGGCTTTTCGTGTTCCAAATTGCTCATGAAATAAGCCTCTGATCTCAAAGTAAGATTTATTGCCTGTAGTTTGTCTGTGTATTTCCTGTACTAAATTATTTTTATAACAGAGCCAAACTGGCCTCTGAATTGGAGGGACCCTGGTCAGAGGGCCAGAAGGAGGGCCACCTCCTGTCTCCTTGGTCCTGCAACAAGGAAAGGAGTGAGAGAAAAATTATAAGTTACTCTTTTATAATAGAATTCATATAATTAGACTAGAAGATTCTCTTTTGCTCTTTCTGATGCTTCTTGTTAACTTCCTCTTTTTTTCTCTTTTTCTGCATAAAACCCCCACCCTACAACCTAAAATGGGTTCAGTCACAAGTACATGATACGTTGTTATAATCTTCTTGGAGAATGGGAAGATCTGCCCCGGCTAGGCAACGAGGGAATATCCACCCAAAGCCCAGCAGTAAAACAAAGATAAGACACTGAAACACAGAAAACAATGTCTTGCTGAATCTCAGGCTTATAGTTTATCTCATTTTAGAACATAAGAGAATAAGGGGTGTGTGGGGAGGGCTTCTTAGGCGTGGGGTGTTCTGTGCAGGGGTATAAAATGTATTGTTTGAATATGGAAGCTTGCTCTTCTTGTACAGGTTTTACTGAAACCTGGCTTAATCCACAAATTCATGGGGACAACACCATATACATCCCAGAATTTCAGACATTTAGATCAGACAGAATTGAAGAGACATCGGGTAAAGCAAAGGGTGGAGGATTATGTTTATATATCAAAAACAGCTGGTCTCAGGATATAAGTTCTGTGATGAAACCAGGCCAGAAACATATTAACAAGAGAGATCAGGGCAGCAAAAAGAAGCTACTCTGAAAAGCTAAATAATCAATTCTCAACAAATGAACCAGCAAACATGTGGAAAACTCTTAAAAACATCACTGGCTTCAGCAAACCTTCTTCCCAGGCAGAAGGAAATCAACAACTAGCAGATGACCTGAACGTGTTTTACTGCAGGTTTGAAAGAAAACTACAGCCACCTATCTCCACAACCCACATCTCAAACACACCAACAACAGCCAAGCCTCCTACAACCGGCCCCAACCCATTGGGTTCACAACCTCTGGTGATCACAGAAAAAGAAGTGCAAGATCTATTACACAGACAAAAGCCAGGAAAAGCACCAGGGCCAGACAAGATAACTCCTTCTTGCTTAAAAGACTGTGCTGACAAATTGGCCCCCATCTTCACCCGAATCTTCAATAGATCACTAGAGATGTGCTATGTTCCTTCCTGCTTCAAACGGTCTACCATTATCCCAGTACCAAAGAAACCCTCCATCAAGGAACTGAATGACTACAGACCAGTTGCTCTAACATCTGTAGTTATGAAAATCTTTGAAAGGTTTGTTCCGTCCCACCTGAAAACCACCACAGATCCGCTTTTGGATCCCATGCCGTTTGCATACCGAGCAAATAGATCGACAGATGATGCTGTTAATATGGCTCTGCATTACATCCTACAACACCTTGACTCTCCAAATACCTACGCAAGGGTCCTCTTTGTAGACTTCAGTTCAGCATTCAATACCACCATTCCAGACACTCTTCTAAGTAAATTAAACCAACTAGCAGTATCTGAACACACTTGTAAGTGGATCATAAGCTTCCTAACAGACAGGAAGGAGCAGGTGAAGCTAGGCAGAATCACATCTGATACCTGTACAATCAGCACAGCCCCCCCCTAACGCTGTGTGCTATCTCCACTTCTCTTCTCCCTATATACCAATGAGTGCATCTCAAAGGATCCATCTGTTCAAATACTGAAGTTTGCTGATGACACAACAGTGATTGGTCTCATTTGAGACAAGGACAAATCCTCATACAGACAGGAAGTTATACAACTTGCCTCATGGTGTAACCGGAACAATCTGGAACTGAACACACTCAAAACCATAGCAATGGTGGTAGACTTTAGAAGAAACCCTCCCATACTACCACCTCTTACAATACTAGACAACACAGTATCAACAGTAGAGACCTTCAAATTTCTAGGTTCTACTATATCACATGACCTAAAATGGTCATCTAACATCAAAAATGTCATAAAAAAAGCACAACAAAGAATGTTCTTCCCTTGCCAACTCAGAAAACTCAAACTGCCCAAGGAGCTGCTGATCCAGTTCTACAGAGGAAGGACTGAGTCTATCATCTGCACCTCTATAACTGTCTGGTTTGGTTCTGCAACCCAACAGG